CGTAAACAATGGTGTGCAATGTGTGGTAGAGAAGCATTATTTTACTGCTGTTGGAATACTGCATATTGTGATTATCCTTGCCAACAATCACATTGGCCAATGCATATGAGAACATGTGCTCAAAAACCTTCATTCACTACTCTTGTTACCAGTTCTACTGTAAATTCGAATCAGCAGCAGGTGATGCCCAGACTTATGATAAATACACAGCATGTAACATCAAACATGTGGAGGGCCTAAAGTACATTAATAAGTCTGAAATTAAAGCCAGAAGTTTAATAAATTATAAATACTTATTCCTTAAGCTTTATCAATATTGTTGTATTTTTTATTTCATGGCTCTTCACGGTTTGTATTTATATGTAAGTGTTATTGTTAAAATGTTAGAACAAGATAGTACTTTATACATAAATTTTTTGTAATGTAAAAACTACAAATAACAAAATAAAGAATATGTATTCAAGGAGTAATGTCTACTCCAATAATTATTTTATATAAAAACAACCAATTTTAATTTTATATGTATTAATTAAAAATGATCTCATATATATTTGTTGAGTATTTTATATTCTATATTAATTAATATAGAAATTTAAATTGAAATTCAAATACGAATATATGTTATATATATATGTTATATATATATATATATAATGAATCTAATTTACACTGAATTTGTTTTTGGATCCTTTATATTTTTGCTACCTTTGTTCCTCACTAATTATATAGATAATTAAATGTTAGATAAATTTACAATTATGTAATTTTGAATTATTTTTTATTTTTGGTTTTATGCAATGCTCCAACAAATTCCTCTATATTTTTCAGAATCATAATATCAAAGTAAACAGCCCTACTAATAGGATGTACGAATTATCACATGATAAACTGAACAAAATATCAACATCTCTAGCTTTGTGTTGTTCTGAAACTGATGGTAATGGAAATTCATCATAGTGTATGTATACCATGTAATGTAATCCAATGTAAAAAAAAATTTTTATTAAAAAGAAAAAAAATTAAAAAAGCAACATTTAATTTATTACATATTTTTAGAGAGAAAAAGAAAAAAAAAGAAAAGTAAGAAAATTATTGAATTTTAAAATAAAATAAATGATATTTATATTTTATTTTACATGAGCATGAAAAATTATTAATACTTATTCTGTATAAAAGATTGAAATAAATGAGAAGTGTTATAAATAGTATAATATAAATAATTTATATGTTGCAAGTAATTATGTTATATTTTCCATTATTTATTATTATTATTATTTAAAAATATAAAAGATGCTAACTTTCAAAGTGTTAAAATAATCTTTTTATCATTTATTTTATTTTGAGGTTTTGAGATAATTAAAAAAAATTTAAATTATTTTCTTACTTACTCTTTTTCATATAGTTATATTTTTTAGAAATACAATATTGAATTGTTTTTAAATCTATGCATAGATTTATACATAATATTTATACATATTTTCTAATAATTAATTTTGTAAATTCAATATGTGCATAATAATATTGATTTATCAATCATTTTTGAATTTTTACAACTTCTCTGACATAGATTATAAATCTATATATAGATTTAAATCTCTAATCATATCATAAATCATAAAAACAAAATAATATTTAAGTAATTAAATTGCTTTAATAATTTTTCAAAATGTCATCACTGATATATAAAATATAGATATATATATTAAAGATTACTATTTCATGTAAATCTAAATCATTATATGTATGTTTACATGTTTAATAGATGAAACCAAACTTCAATGCATATAATAACGATATTATGTATTTTTATCACAAATGTATTACATATATGTACATAATATATATGTATATATTATTTTTATTTATCATAATATATCTTATATATATTTTTATGTCATACATGTATATTTTTTATATCTTTATATTTTTTTCTTTCTTCCAAAAAATTCTTTTTTCCTAACTCAATAAAAACTTCCTTTTTCTTTTCCTTTCTCAATATTTCTGCGTTTTTCATTCTGAAACATTTATTACAACAGTATAGCTTCATTTATAATACTTCATAGATAGATATCTTTAAATATCATAAATTATCGCTACTATTTTTTTTTCTTATATATTATTGGTAGAATATATTTGTTTAAAATCAAGAAAAAAATAAATAGCGAATTTGAGAAATTTCACTATAGGCAATTTTTTTTATCGGAAATGCACTTTTCAATAGAACAACTGAGCAAATGTGGAGAACAAATTTAATATAAGTAGCGTTATCTTGTGGACGAATTCTGAAAGCTTTGACTTATTAATAAGAATATAGCATTTGAGACGAAATTTTCATACATATCACAGGCAAAGAAATATTATGTGAAAAGAACAGAAATAGGATAAATTAGAGAAATAGCGCTATCTCTTGAATACCAAAGAAATTATAAAAAAATGGTAAGAATCAATTCTTATTTTATCTTTGAAAACATTTTTAACTCAAGAGATGGCGTTGTTTTTCTAATTTTTTTTTCTGTTCTTTCTCTATCTTTTTATTTCTGTTCTTTTTGTAGAGATAATAATATTGTATAAATTAAATTGTATAATAATATCATTTGTACATAACATCAAATATCTTTTTGTATATTCTGTATTTCTATTTCTAATTGCTTCCAGTATCTATCCGTAAGATGAACTAATAGTAGATATATAAGTTTTTATATGTTTATATATATATATATATTTCTATATTTCCTACATATTTATATTGTCGTTTAAATATTTTAAATCTATATATTTTTATGTTCTTAAATTTCAGAAAAATTATTTCATATAAATAAGGAGATATCAATTACTTATTAAAATTTTTTCATACAAATTATTTTATTTTCTTCTTGTAGTTACATATTTATTTGGCTTTTTTGCTTTTAATTTTTCTCATATAAAATTCAAGTTCTTTTCCTTCAAGTATATAACCATCTGCACGACCGCACTGTCCAGGTCTACTTGATATACAAGCTGAAATTAAAATATGAATGTACATGTAATATGACTTGATGAATAATTTAGTCCATAAAAAAAATATATCTGATATTTTTTATTTCGATATTTTCATTTAAAATTATGACTCAGCATTATTTAATATAGAATATAATTTATATGAAAATCTGAAGTTAAAATAACAATAGTTATTATATTTACATATATTAGAAAGTTAATTTATATATTATGAAAATTTTATTCACCAAGAACACGTCCTGTAGCAAATTGTTCCTCAAGAGCAGGTTCAACTTTAGCAAATCGTTGCCTTGCTTTATATTTAGTTTCTGCTTTTTTTGAACGTTTTTTATTTAAAACTTCTTCTTCAGCTTCAGTCTATATATTTAAATAATTATTAATTTATTAGTTATGTTATGTTATTAATTTATCTATTATATTGAAAGTGAAAAATTTATTCACTTACCAGTTTAGCACCTCGTTTACGACCCAATGGTAAAACATAATGACCTTCATACCATTGTCTGAAAGGTGTTGCATCAATAGTGACAATTGCATTTTTTACAAGAGTTTTTGTTCTCACCAATTCATTATTTGATGCATTATAAACTACATCTATAATACGTGTTTTTCTTGTAGTACACTCAGATCCCCATGAAAAATTTCCTGTATCTAAACGAAGTGCTCTATATTTTTTGTTACCACCTCTAGTACGTACCTGATTTATAAGGAAAAATGAATTCATAAAGATTATGTTTATTTTGTAAAAAAATATAAATAATATATAATAATTTTATTCAGTTCGCTGTGGGATATGAGTCAACATAATACTCAGAGTAGGTAAAGTTAGTCATCATATTTAAATATTATTGCATTATTTTCAAAAAAGAAGAATTATACGTCTTCGTACAAAATTATTTAATTTCATATTTTTTAGAAATTTTAGACTTTGAAGCAAAAGTAAATAATATGATGTACAATAAATAATGTATATTAATATTTGTTATATTTTGTGACTGAATAGAATTATAATTTATTTGTGATAATAAATAATTAAAATTTTTATATGAAAAATTGTATAATATTACCGTATGTATACGTTGAGGTCCAAGTTTCGTATTTGCAGCTGGACGACCTAATTCAAATTTTCTCTTTTTACGGATTGGCTTTCTTTTACCACCAGTTGCTCGCCTCTTATGCCAATGATCGCGAGAAATACCTATAACATAAAAAAAAAATATCATTAATGATATATAATTATTCAATTTCAATTTTGTCTAAAATATAATACATAGTATTATATTTGACAAAACAATATATTGAATATAATAAATATAAAATTTAAGCAGATTATATTATATAAAGATTATATTGTTAAAATAAGAAAAGTATGGAAAAACCATCGATATATGATAAATTTTTAACTTTTAATTTGTATATATGAAAATAATATACATCTAAATAGAAAAATTTAATGTTTTTATAGATTCTTAATAATCATTTAATAATAACTTTAATGCTAAAAAAGTTGATTCAAAGCGATAAAAACAAAATTCACATTACATCAAACAACTCACCCATGGTGCTTTAGTCGAAAAGAACCTTAAACTTTTTAATATTAATAGAACTTCTACCTACTTCTGATATTGTCCAAGAATATAAGCGCCCTCTTACAATTCTGAAATAGAATATGTATTATAATAAAAATCAACATTATTTTATTTGTTTTTATATTATTTTTAAATATACTATTTTCTTAATATAAAAATTTTATATTTATTTATTGTTTATAACAAGAATAAAATTCTATTTATATTAAAATGATTTTTGTAAAAAATATTATTATAAATATTATAGAATCTAAAGTTAAATTATACAAAATTTAATTATATTATTTTATCAATTATATTTATTTATTTTTTATCTAATATTTTAAAAAATGATAGTAATATAATACTAAAATTAAGATATGGTTGCTAGTTGCATATTGTTTATGTTTGTCTTCTTAATGATCATTGAAAATTCAATATGGTGTCCATCGGTTGAAGGGCTACGTTAGAATTTTATATTTGAAAATAACATTAACAGCACGAAAATTGTTTAACTCATCATAATTATGAAAATTCGATTGAAAAATTGATATGACATCTAAAAGCCTTAATGTCACAGCAATATATTATATAAAAACGAAAAAATTATCATCTTTAAAATTCTTTTCTCAAATTGTATCTTGTGAATAGAAATTCCGATATTTGAAAAAAAGAAATATCGAAAAAATTAAAATGGAAAAGATAAACGTAGAAAGTGTTACAGATGGAAATGAATCAGAAGGTGAACAAAATAGCATCGAAGAAAAGAATGAAAACTCTTTGACAGATATTGCTACATTAGATATTACATCTCGACTTAGTTTAAAGACAACTGAAATATATGGAGAATCACATAGAAATGGAATATCTCGAGTCAATGGAATTTGTAATTCTCCTGAAAGAATTACTAGCATGACTAATCTTACACAACCTGAAACTACTCAGTTAAATCAATATGGTATAAGAAATTAATCTTCTATATCTATTAATTAAAATTTAATTTTTGTACATATAAATTTTAATAGTTAAGTGTATCTTTATGAAATTTTTATATTGATTATTTTTTATATATAATTAGGTACATTACCAGGGACATTATCGTTGGAAAGTAGAGGTAATGATATAAAGTATGTTAGTTACACAAGTGAATTACAAATGCCTGATATTATGAAGTTAATACAAAAGGACCTAAGTGAACCATATTCTATTTACACATATAGATATTTCATTTATAATTGGCCAAAATTATGTTTTCTGGTATGTATATTATTGAAATAACAAAATATATGTATATTTTTAAAACAATGAAATATATTCAAACAATGCTGGAAAAGATATTTATTTCATAATATTGTGTATCTTTATTTATATGATTCTATTTAAGAAATAATCAATATGGTATTAGAAAATATTAAGAATAAAAAAAATTGTTAGCCAGCTTTGGTCGGATGCCTTTGTCTTGCAGGTGTGTAGAATTTACAAACTCTTGCTTTTTGTTCGTCAAGGCGATGTTTGGTGACGAGTGTGTTGGTGCCATTGTCTGCAAGCTGGACATCCACAGAAAAGTCATAAAACGTGGATACATTGCAATGTTAGCTGTCGATGTAAAATATCGAAAGCAAAAGATTGGATCAAACCTGGTAAGAAGAGCGATCCAGGCTATGGTGGAAGATAATGCTGGTGAAGTAGTTTTAGAAACAGAAATTACTAATCGACCAGCATTACGTTTGTACGAGAATCTTGGTTTTGTACGTGATAAACGATTATTTCGGTACTATTTAAATGGTGTAGATGCTCTTCGATTGAAATTATGGCTTAGATGAAATTCATCTATACCTTTATATCTTAATAAAGATCTAATTAACTCTATCATGCTGAAGGGATATAACGTCAATGTTCAGTAATATCCAAAAATAATGTAATGTTAATACCAAGGAGATTATTATATATTGTATGCGCAGAAAAACATTTGTACCTGGAAAAAAAATAATTGGATTGTATAGCGCATACGATTTAACGTTATATTGAATTGATATGATTAATTTAATCAATTTTTATATTGAAATATATTTATCATATTATGTTGTACTACTACATCATATCATGAATATACTTCTTACTTATAATACAAAAACAATAGAATGATAAATTATTCTAATATTCTAAATATATAATTAATTGTTGAGTATCAGGATGTTCTCTTTGGTATTAATGTTTATTGGAATAATATATAAATGCAGCTTAAAAATATAACAATGAGAAAGAATAACGGGAAAAAAAAGATAAAAAATGTAAAACAAGTTTTGAAAGTAATATGTTCTTTTGTGCCTCTTTCATGTTCTTTAAATATGAAATCTGATACAATGCGGTAACAAAGAGATTTGTGAATTTATGATGAAATAAGATGAAGTTTTAAAAAGATTAAGTTAATTTGCTTATAAATAATCAATGTGAATTTTTTAAGATATTGGTCGAATTTTGTTGTAATTACTGTGATGGAATATGAATCAAATAATAATATTATTTGTTATTTTAAAAAATATTTAAAATATTTTCGTACATGTATGTATTTCTTTTTGTTATATTGGGTAATTCTCTTATTACATAAGCATTGATTTATTGTACGATAAAATGAAATATTTTGCAAATATTAATTTTAATATATTATCTACATATTTGCAATTACATTTAAATATAATAAAAAATACGAATATATATAAATGAATGCATATACAATAGAATCTCGATTATTGCAACTTTAATCATTGCACGGAAACTATATTCATTCCAATAGTACATAGTGAAGCATGATTTCATGTATTACAATAAAAAAATCATTTTATTAATATCATTGTAAAAATAATTAATTATTGCGTTTGTTATACGAACATCGAAATTTGCACTTATTTTGTTAATACGTATTTCATTTTATCACAATTGAGATTCTACTATATATACAACATATATACATATATATGTATATATATATATATATATAAACATGAAATAAAAAAATAAAGAAAAAAATATAAAATTTGCTAAATGAAAATATCACGAAGAAAATATATTTCACGTAAAATAACATAGAGCAGATTTATTGCTCTCTCTAAATGTTACAGCTTTGTATAAAATAAATGCGAGGCACAGATCATGACGTAACTATTGAAAGAAATGTAAAAATGTTAATAAAAATACCTAAATGTTTTTAGAGTCGGCTCTTATTATTCCTATAAAAAAAATCTTATACAAAAATGTTTAATGTTCATACAAATAAAAGAAAAGTTATTATATTGTAAGCATTAATAATTTGATTACAGACGAGATACAAAATAATATCATTCAATATATTTTTCTATATATTTTATAAAGACTCTATATATCTTTACATACATTATTTTAATCTCATCTCCGACATTATCGATTCAGCAAAGAATAAGATTACAACATTAATAGTGGTTAGAATTGAAACTAAATTTTATTATGATAAACGAAATTTTATTATGATTGCAAATAACATATGAAATAAAAAATATTTTATCGTAAACAAAATATAGAATTCTACAATAAATATCATTCTTATATAGATTACTACTATACTACACATTTAATTTGAAGAATTATTATAATCTATTATGTTTTTATTTTTTTTAATTTAATCGTCTTAATTGCATAAATAGACTTTTATCATTGAAATTTATTTGAGTAAATATGTTTTATTTTTATTCATGAGATCAATATATATATATTTTTCTATGTACTATATTTATCTCGTCTATGTTTATATACACACATGTACCATAAACAGAAAAAAAAATTAGCCTAGAATCTTAAATGTATTTATTCATTTTTCTTTAATCTTTGTTTTTAAGCAATCTCGTAAAATAATATGCTGATATGAGAATACAATAAAGAAAATATACATTCATGCATACATATATACATAGTAAATATTTATTTACTATATACTATTAGTAGTAATAAATATATATGATTTATAATTATAGTTTATATGTAAATAATTATACATATATATAGATAGATAGATATGACATGTAATATACATATATTATCTTGAGAAGCATCATTTTTTACAAGGTGTGCTCGGATTACCGTAATCATTTCATACTGTAATAAGATGTTATTGTAGAATTGAAATTGGAGATGAGAGAAAGGGGAGAATACATTCTCGAGAATGGTCGATCAAAACGATGGTGTTATCAGTTTTTATCAACGAACATACCCTTGCAATATGTTCCCTTATCTAGGACATTCGATCGAATAAGTTTTTAAATAAAATTTCAAACCATATTTGATGACATAAGTAGATATTTATGTACTTATTGTAATTGTAAGTTATAAGTATAAGTAAAACCAAACGAGTGAATAGTTATATATTATTATGTAATTCTATTTTATTTTTTATCATAATCATTATGATTAATAATCGATGCGTGTTTAACAATAAATTTTAATCATCTTTGTTATTTTATAGATAAATATATAGAAATTAACATTAAATTTAAAATAAAAAAAAATGGAATTTTGATACATACACAAAAATAGAATATTTGAGTTGAATAAGCTTCTGTTTATTTTTCCTTTTTATTTTTTTCTAATTTATAACAAATTTAAATTCATGAATATTATCATATCAATATAATAAATATATTGTATATTCTTTTAAAATCATATTTCTTGTTTTCTCCATTTAATTTTACGCCACCATTTATTTTAAATGTATAATAATTCATGCAAAATTTAGTACTTGGTTGAAAGTAGATATTTTTTTTTAGCCTCCAGGGAAAGCACAGCTGTTCTGTAAAATAGAGGTGAAGTAGAGGAATGTTTTAAAAAAAAAATTGATTTTCATTATTTTTTTATTTTATTATTTAAATTATAATAATATATATAAAATAACAAATATTTTATAATCTTTTCTATTAATAAAAACAAAATATAATATTGTAAGAAATTGATAAAATATAAATTTTTATTTTCTTTTGGTTTTTCAATTTTGAAAAAAAAGAAATAAAGTTACAATCATTAAAATAACAATTTTATAAACTTCCTGCACTTAAAGAATTAAAGAGAAATATACTATACGAAAAATGCGCTTTATTTGATATGAGAATTGACACTTTTTCAATTTGTAGTAAATCGCATTTTTCTCTTTCACTTTCTGTTTCTCACATTAAAGAACAGATATTGAAAGTGTTTAAAAATAATATTCAATTATTCAATTATAGAATCAAAAGTATTCATAACGAATTTATTTCAGTGTCATCAATCGGTCTAATCTAAAACACAAATAGAATTAGAATAATATATTTTAATGTGAATGAATTTAAATATTGAATTAATAATGAATTAATGTTGTTAAGTAAAAACAATAAATGAAAATCGATATTAGTTGGTGAAGTGTTTCATTTCATCAAGCTATTCTCTTAATAAATTTGACATAAATATTGAAGATTGAATTGAAGCAATTCAGTTTATTAGGAACAACGTAATCTCGTTACTTGTTTGTCAAGAACACGTGATACAGAGATCTATTATAATAGAACCAACAGATAATGTAATCGGGTTCGAGATATTTATCATATATGCTAAAGAGAATATAATGATATTATTCTCTTTTCTTTACAAAGGAAAAGTAAGTACTTACATTAATCGATTGACATTTGAACCTCTGTCGAATCAGAGAGCTTCTGTTTCTTCTATATCTCTCGACACGTTGCTGGCTGTTGTCTCGTGGGTAATCAATTCACACCCTTCTGGATTCGAATTTCTTATTTGCGTTTCATTCAATAATAAAGATTCCTGAAGGGTATTATTTCCGTTACATTCTTTATTATTCTGAAATTCTTCGGTACTTTTCGGAATATAACCATTAATTGCTTTTGAAAAGCATGGAAGTACCTTCAAAAGAATTCATTTGGTAAATGTAATGATGGATTCATGAAAATTTTATTAATTTATGTGAAAATTTAAAGTTCTTGATTAAAAAATGAAGTACGATTGTTTCATAAATAAATTAATTATAATTGAAAATGCACAACAGTATAAATTAAATTTATATTAAAAAAATAAATGAGGAATATAATGATAAATTTAAAATAACTTAACAAGATGTTCGATTATTAAAAAAGATATTGTTGGTGCATATTTAAAAAGTAAAATAAGGTTCGAGCAAATTTGTGTATTATAATGTAAATGAGTGTAAATTTCTCTTAAAAGACTTTCTTTTACAGTCATGTAAAATCAGTAAATAGAATTTTACGAAGAACAAGATCTTTCGATGAATAATATTCTCTATTAAACCGTTTAAACTAGTTTTAAAACTGTCATAAATATAAATATATACAAATATACTTAAAACGAAGATTTTCGTTCAAAAATTAAATTGATAAATTATTTTCAATAAAATTTATATAATTTTAAATAATTCTGCAATTTTTTAGGAAATAATATGTTTAAGAAACGCTTACATAGAAATAAAATACTTTTCCAAATCGGTTTTTTTTTAACATGAGAAAAATAAAAAACTATATATCGAAATAAATTTCTACACGTAGATATATATATATATATATAATAAGAAATAAATATGTTAAAGAAAAAAAAAATTCGTACTTGTTTAAATTCTTTGCGAAAGTTATCGTTGAGCCAAGCGTAAAGGAAAGGATTGTAGCAGGTACTACTCATAGCGAGGCAGTGTGTCATGAAAAAACAAAGTTTATAATATATCCAATCATTGGCCGGCGAATAAAAATCATTAATAACGTTTACGATATTAAGCGGTAGCCATGATATACCGAACACAGTGACCATAGCAATCAGCATCCGATTCGTTCGCTTCTTCCTCTCTCTGTCAGCCTCTTCCCTTTTATTGGTCTTAGTACCAGGTTTCGTTTTAGCTCGATCATTCAACTTGATCGAGACACAAATGTAACAAAAAGCAATTACAAAAAATGGTAGGACAAATTGTAGTATTGACGTGATGGAACTAAAAATTTTGCGAAATCGTTCGTTCGGCCAATGTTCTTCACAGTAAGTATATGGTTCCTCGAGATGCATGTAAATTCCGTAAGGGGAAGTGAGTAGTAATGCGAATATCCATATACCGATGATCACAAGTAAACAAACTTCGATCTTCATACGAGGATGGAACGGATAGATAATTACCATGAATCTATCGATCGCGATACTCGTTAAAGTCAGTGTGCTGATATACACACTGACACCTTGAGCATACGGTACCAAATGGCAAAGAGTTCTGCCAAATATCCATCTACCGAGGAACGTGTATAATGGTGTAAACGGTACCGCAAGAACGCAAAGCAGAACATCGCTCAATGCCAAATTCGTGATGAATAAATTCGTTACTGTCTGCATCTGTCGATTTCGTGCCACGACGAAGCATACCAGCACATTACCAAACACACCCAACATAAAAATATGTACATAAAGTATATAAAATATTAATTGCACTAAACCATTTGAAGTTATATCGTTCTCGATACGATTGATAGTCGAATTGCTCGACCATTCTTCTACCACATTATTGTTCGATGGAATCACTGTATTATCCACTTCACGATTCATGTTTCTTCCTCGATACACTTCTTTTTTTTTTTTATTCTTTTATAAGTTGATTTTTCTTTTTTTAAATTACAACTTTATATTATCTTTGCTCTTTCAATTTTCAAATATTTTCCTCTTTTTTCTTATTTATATATATTTTTCTTCATTTCTTTCGAACGTTTTTTTCTTTCAAATTTTTCGATCGAATTGATAGAATAAAATTGGAAATATATATCTCAATTATTCCATTATTTACAATAATTTTAGCTTTTTCACACGAAATAAATACTTAAATACTAATTAATAATTAATTATTAATATATATATATGATTACATATATATGATTAAATACATATATATGATTAAAAGCGGTTTGAGTTTTTGTTTTTCTTTGATTGCAGATAATGATTTTGAACCAAGAAACAACTAAGGAGTGAATAAAACTTGTATAAATAAATATGTAATTTTATAGCTTCCTAAACGAATTTTATGCCAGATAATACAAGATAAAACAAGACAAGATATAAAATCAATTTTGACTCGTTTTACATAAATAGAAAATCTTTTCTTTCACATTATACATTGTTTCATGACCAATTTTACCGATACATATAGATTGTTATTAATTTAAAAATTTCTCTATTTCTTTGCTCTAAAGATGGTGAAATCTGGTATTTCTCGAGGTTACTACTATTTAAAAACATTCCCCAAAAATAGAACGATATTGCGTGATCACGAATCGTCCTTCGATCGATGTCAGTTACATAAAACTTTTTTTAATCGAAAAAAAAATTTATTCAAAATCATTCGATTAAAAAATAAAAAATTGCCACATATTTCGTTTCATTATCTATACTATTAATTAAATGTATTTAATTCTTTTAGCTTTAATTTTAAACATACAATCGCGCACCATCTTTTTCTTTTTTTCTTTCCGTCTTTAATTTAATCTTCTATTGGGTATTAATTATTATAAATAATATTGTAGAAATTGTCCAGACAATGTTCTTACGAAATATATATATATGTATATATATATTTTTTTTAAAATAAAATTTGTTATTTTCTTGAACCACCTGTTGATAATTTTGAGAATTAATTTTTACGTGTTATTTATATTTTCTATTGTGAAATATAAAATGAAAACAAAATAGGAAATTAATCATAAAAAAGACAAAATTTAAAATTATCATGGAATTAAAATTATTTTCTGGATTATAGAAAATTGTTAAAAAAAATTAATCGACTGATACTCGATAATTATAAGTACACAATGTTTTAGTGTATCGATCGAAGAATTTGACAGCGACGAAGGGTTCGTCGGCTAAAATATAATCTTACAAATCACTTAGCACAGAATTTTTGTAATTGTTTTTATGTATCTATTATTTGGCAAATAATTTTCAATTTTGTTGTATTTTTTTATAACATTGAATTCAATGTTTTTTATATTAATTTTTTTATATAATAAAAACGGTACCACGATTTTTAACAATGTATTATTATTTCCAACGATGAAGCGCTTTCGACGTGACGGCCGGCCTTTTCCATCGATAACTGAAAATGGAAAATTGTTAGCAAAACCTAACTAGACAAGCCGCCGTTTTCTCGCGCAGGCGTCCACATTACCATCTGTATCCTCGTCTTTTTAGAGACAATTTACGGCATTCATGTTTAAAACAATGTGTTAATTCTTAACATATTAATAAAATTATAAACAAAAAAATTTAATAAGTATCAATTATAATTTTCGAATATTTTCTAATATTTATAAAATTAATGAACATATTAAAAAATATCAAAAAATTATTTTATTCGCAATTTTTCTTTTCTATTAAATATTTTATACATTCTTATTGAATATAGGCATTCTTTGGTTTTTTTCTTAAGCTTTTATGTTTTTTTCTTTTTTCATTGAACACGCATATTATAATTTCACATATTTCAAAATAAAGGTAATAGTATTTATTATTGCATATTGCAAATAAATTTAAAAATAATTTTAAAAATAAATTATAAATTTAATACTCGAAACTTTAAAGTATTAAAATTTTTTGCTTATTTTTATTTTTAATACAAAAATTTGTCATATGAAAGCATAATCTTTCAAAAAAGTTTAATCTAAACTATTACATAATATTTATATATCTATATAAATAATCTATGTCAATTTGATACATCTCCTATTATTTTTTAAAATCTTGTTCAAATAACAACATTCATTTTAGAACAAAAGTTAATATTACTGTTTAACATTCAAATATACTTGATATTTTTGGAATCTTTCAACTCTTCTCTTATTGTTATTATTATTATTATTATTATTATTATTATTATTATTATTATCACTATTTCATTATTTCTTTTGTTTTTTCCCTATCTCTTTACATTTTTATGAAATACTTAATTATTAATACTAAATACTTAAAATCATTTATAAATTATTTTTTTTAACAAAGATGTTCTAACAAAAGTAAACAATGAAAGTTCTTTTAAATTAATTTTGCATTCGCATAAATACATATTTTCATTTACATTAAATACATGAATAACAAACATAGAAATAAGCATTTGTACTATAAATTTATTTTACAATAATAAGTCTAGGTTCCAGCCATATATTAAACATTTTTAAACATATATATAAAATTTTTTAAATATCAAAAGAATCAGAAAAAGAAAAAGATAGAGAGAGAAAGAAAGAGAAAGAGCGAGAGAGAGCGAGAGAAAGAAAGAAATAACAGCTTTATATGTTAAGACAAATTTATTAACTTTTAAATTTCATTTTGTTAAATAAACACATTACACTACTCTATGTTCTTACAATAGCCGTATATCTTTGTTACTATTGAAAAAATTTTAAAGAAAAATAAAACAAAGAATGTTATATTTCACTCTATTAATAACGAGATATCATTTCGCTATTATCCAGAATATTAACAAATTAAAATTTAAAGTGATAAAGAAATATAATATTTGATATTTAATGTATAACTGATTACCTAGAAGACTTATACAGTGGACGATATTCTTGGAATAGTATATACGCAAAACAGTAATTGCTATACACAATTGGTTCCTTTGTACTATAGAAATTTTACAAATATTTTAAGTTTATACAATTATATATATATACATATATATTGTATATGTGTATGTTACGTATATGCATGTATATCTATACATATTCATATGTATATATATACATTCATATGTATATATATATACATATACACATCAGCTTGCTTCTTTTCTTTCTGACAAATATTATTTGCATAAAATTTGCATAGATATTAGTCAGAAATGGCATTTCGATATGTGGGATTTAGCTTTTTGTCCCACTTTATCATAAATATATATAATTAACTTGTTTTTTTCTAGACTTCAAGTCCTTTATGCAAGTTCTATGCAAGTGAATACATATAAAAACATATAACACAGTAAATGTTTATATAAGTAAAAGAGACTAAAAGAATATGAAAATTCGATGCGTATATAAATTTTAACGCAAAATTTAATATAATCAAAATAATTTTTTTGTTAGCAAAGAAAAGTTTACAATGTTAACCAAAAATGAATTTGGATTATATATACATTACTAAAAAAATTCTCATAAAAATTAATAAACAACTAAATGGATAATGTTTCTTTGATTAATTTTTTCATTGTATTACCCATTGTTGTACTTGATGGGCTAGAAGTTGTAAATGATAATTTAAATAGATAAGGTTGTATATCAGGATATGATGTATCAAAAATCAAATCCAATTCAGCTTGATTTGGCATTTTAGGTAGATAGTCATGTCGATTCATTACTTCTGTTATGTAAAGAATCTTATCTGTTAATAAATCTCCAACTTTTTCTCTGCATATCTGTCTCTCATGTTCTGTTGCTAATTTAATAAGTTCCAATCTTACTGTCCATACTTCCCAAGGTATGCATTCTGGTTGGAAGGGCCAACGATTTTTTTTCTTTTGAAAGAATTCCAAGGATATTTGACCAGAACCTGGACTATCAGTAGAACGCAAAGCTTCAGAAAAACCTGATATTTCACGTTTCAAAGTTTGATCCAGATGCACAGATGAACAACAGACATAAGTAAAATCAATAAAATCACAGTCAACATCTTGATATCCCACAGTACCCACTGAATAACTACCTTCTTGCTTGTATTTAAATTTACCAAGACTTCGATGGAAAAGAACACTGTGGAAGATACTTGCTACTGCTTCATCCACTTGTCTGCCCTCCATACTTAATTCAAATAGTTGAGTTCTGGCATTCATAGTGATTCCTACATAACAAATAGGAATGTTATAGAAATTTTTATAAATTGTCTGATAAATAAAACAAAATCGTACAAAATAAATAAAATAAATTATATAAAGCCAAAGTACCATATTTTTAATATATTTATATATTATATATTTAATTAAGCGTGTAAATTAATTCATTATAAACTGTTGATTGAACAAAAACAAATGAAATCATATGAGTTATATTAAAACTTTGCTTAGATAAATATAAAATTAATTATACGTTTTTAAATATGCATAAAAAAGAAATATGGATAAAAATAAATACGAAATATAATTGCATCGATTTTAATTCTAACCTCGTAAAAGCAGTGGTAAAAATGATGATTATCACTGGAGACTTGCTGTGATACTGGACGATATTTGGTCATCTTTTAATCGCAGAAAATTATCTGATACTTCGAAAATACAATCAAATAACCGTTGTGAAAATGCATGGAAGTAAGTCCTTCTAGTCTTTGAAAATTTCAAAAACGAAATATTCGATATATATGTGGATGCATCGAAAAAGAGTTAAAATTTATGAATATAATTGTCTTGCTGCTTTATTTTATTTTTATTTTTATAAATTTAAGAAATAAGCGTTGCTTATATTTTTTAGAACAACTTTAACTTACTTCTCTGTTTGTATTTTTCTTTCTTTTCTCTCGTCGTCTAAGTATTCTCACTTCTTCTGATAAATACATTAAAAAAAATTAATTTCAAGTCATTATTATTAATATTAATTAGACATGTTAAAATTAATGAAATCACTATTCTTATAAAAAATTTCTTTAAGTTTTTTCTCTGATGTTCGCACAACCACCTCCACCAAATTATTGTATATCTACTACCATTGTCATCGTTGTACAAATTGTTTTATCATTTAAATTAAATGATTATTATATTTTTAACTTTTTCTTTTTATTTTTCATAAGATATTATTTATTTTTAAATCTTTCGATAACAAAATTTTTATGCACAAAATCACGTAAAATGACTTGGTTTAAACAAAATTATTTCTGCTTTCTCTCCTAGATGAATAACAGCTGTCCTCACAGCATCGCGCCATTTTATGTTTTCTTCAATTTTACTATTCGATTCTATTATTGATATTTTAAAATTTATTTCAATTAATTTTACAAGGAATCTTTATATAAATAAATAGAATAAATAATAATTTTAAGTAAGTAGATATTCTATTAACAACAAATTAATTAATTATTAAAAAAATTGTAATAATGATTAAAAAATATTTAAATATTTTTTGTTGATAAATATTTAACAAATATATAATTATAATTGATTTTTTAAAACATAAAATGTATTATAAGAATATATTTTTGATTATGAAATTTTAAATTATAATTATAAAAAAATTTAATGCACAAAAAGATTTATTATATGGCTAAATTTATACAATAAAAAATACAATTATATTTAATTTTATAAATTTATATTTAATTTAAATACATTTTAATAATGTTTTTTATTATTTTTATTTATATTATAAAAATGAAAATTATTATCAAAGCATATGGTTGAAGAAATTGTATATTGTAAATATTGTATATTGAAATAATATATAATTCATATATATATATTACAATGAAAGTTACTGACATTAAGTACATTAAAATTTTTGTTAAAATGAATATCTTTTTTTTTTAGAAAAACATACAAAATAAATTCATTAAATATATATTTATAAAATTAAAATAACATAAATAAATAAATAAATAATTTTTTATATACTATTTTTTATATAATAATGTATGAATGCAAACATATAAATTAATAATACATTATATAAATTAATATAATCTAAATATACTATTAGTTTTAAAATATATATATATATTTTTATTTATTTATTTTTAATTAATTCAGCGCAAGCAGAGTTAATATCAGGATATTTATATTGAAATCCTAATTCATTAACACGTTTTGGTACAACTTTTTGTCCTTCTAGCATAATCTGAAAAAAATTAATTATTTATACATTTTTTAACAGCAATAAAATAACAAATAACAATTAAACTAACTTTTGCACGTTCTTCATTAAAAATGATATTTAAAACTATTCGTGGTACAGGAATAAATGCAGGTCTTCGCATTACAGATGCAAATGCCTTAGTAAACTCTGTATTTGTTACGATCTAGAAATAATAATTTTTATTAATTATATTTAATTTATATCCACTTCAATATCTCTATTTAATTTAATTACTTGTGGAGCAACACCATTTAATATACCATGTACATTTTTATTTTCAATAGAAAATAGAAACAAATTGACTAAATCTGTTATGTGTATCCATGGCATGTATTGTTTTCCATTATCAATAGGACCACCCAACCCAAAGAAAAATGGTAAATATATTTGTTTGATCATACCACCATTTCTTCCTAATACAACTCCTGATCTAATTGTAACTTGTCTGATATTGCTATCTTTTGGAAGTTGTGCAGCTGCTTCCCAGTTATGACAAAGTTCTGATACATTTTAATATAAATACTATATATAAATATGCATGAAAAATTTTATGACATTAAAAATTAATATTTATGAAAAAATTCAAATTAATATCAATAAAATCAATAAAATTAAAAATATACCTGATAAGAAATCATATTTTTCACATTTATTTTCTTCTGTATATTCTATATCATTTGGTTTATAATACGATACTCCAGAAATTGTTATAAAAACATTAGCTTTAGTATTTGTAATAGCTTTAGCTAAAGATTTTGTTGTTTCTATTCTGCTATTTATAACATTTTGTTTAAATCCTTCTGACCATCGTTGTTTTGGATCAAGTATATTTTGACCAGCAACATTGATTACAGCAGTAGTATTTTCAGGTAAACCATAACATTCCAAATCATGCTACAAATTTTACATTATATAATATCATTGATTATATATTAGATAATTATAATAATTTAATCTTTCTTACCCATGAAATTCGATTAGGTCCAGGCATGCGAGAAATACATGTATAAGAAGCACCTTTATGACACAATGAATTTATTATTTGTGTTCCGATAAAACCTGTACCACCACCTGAGACAATTACATAACCTCATCCGTAATATAACCTATTAGTCAATATTATTTTGAAAATTTATCTTAAGTTTGTCGAATGAGAAAAAACTTGCCTATAACTACGTGTTTTAGCGTCATTTTTATCGTAAAAGTATATTACAAAATAGACAGTTCCTAGAAATGTATATGTTACGTATTGTATTTATAGAAATTGTATTCGATACAGTAACTAGCTTTATTAAATTATCATTGATTACTAAATAAATTCAAATAAAAAATTTTATCTATACATACATACAAACATACATACATATATATATATATATATATATATATACATATGCAAAATAAACTATTAAAGATATATTTATATTTTCGATGAATTACACTATAAATAATTTTATTTTATATAATTTTATACTTAATTTTATCTATGTCATAAAAGATATACTATTCAAATATGATAATAATGAAAAATATATTATGCAATTTATAAAATATAAGTTTTATATTATAGGATATAAATGTAAATAGAGAGAATATAAATAATATTTTTTCATATAAATGTATATACATATTGTATATGCGCAGAATGAAAAATATAACGTGCGCATGCGCTTACACACACACACACACACACACACAATTATTTGTAATAAAGAAATATAAGAAAAAGTGG